CTCTGAGGCATATTGTTTCACCTTTTGTATTTTCAACACCAAACACCACTGTCCCCTGGGCGTGCCAAATTGTTTCGCGCGGGTTCGTCGCTAACAATTAAAAGAGATAAGACGATTGTGTAAGGGACAAACATCTTGAGACAAAGTCCCAAAAAGGGGTGTTCTTTTATTGCGATGACTTTACAATTAGAAATTAAAAACAGAATGCCTCCAAGGGGCGCAAGCACACGAGTTACTAAAAGAAGTGTTTAAATATAAGCTAAGGAATTTAAAATTACATGTTCTCTGTTCGAGAGTTTTTGATTCGGTCTCTTTGCTTTATGTCTTTCCTTCCTTTTATACTCCCTAAATGATCTCTTTGTGATCAACCGTCTAAAAACTGCTGGATCCTTCTATAATTGCCCACTTTCCTCGTAATGACCAACTTGTCATGGAACTGCCTTTTTTAACTGCTGCCATTACTTTTCGTCGTTCAAACGTTTTCGATTGAATTCCTTGAATCGTGGAACGTGATAGGGCTACTTTAATAACTGTTTTGATAACTGCACTTCTTGATAACTACAACAGTTTATGTTTGCTAAGACTTTGGGCGACTCGAAAGTTTGGGCGAGAATAGAGTAACAGCTCTGGACGACTGCATGGCACTCCATTCGCTCAGATTCTGAGCGACTTGCAAACTTGGGCGATGGTGTTACCGCGTTTTTGGACCTCCCTATTTGGGCCTTCATCTTGACTTGTTTGATTGAGTTTCGTTCTTTGGACTATCTGATTTGGGGATCCTCCAACTGGGCTTCTTTCCTTTGGCCGTTCGATTTGGGCTGAATTTTTATGTGTCAACAGGACATATTATAGAAGATATATTATATATGAAATTCTTATTTTTTTAGATGCATATTTGGTTTTTCCCCTTCTAATTTTTGAACACAAATTGCACTTAAAACCATTATGCTAAGGGCATACGTGCATGAAAAAAGCTTTGGAGCATATGTACATCATGGATGAATTGGACTTGTGTCTCTAGTTTCGTGTGGAGATAAAATATCAAAGGATTATAGAGGAAAGCCTTATATTTATTTTTTATTTTTTTACTTCAATTTAATTTGTATTCTGTATATATAAATCAGTTAATGATTTATTCGATAGAAAAGGATCCCACGATCTTGATTTTCGCTGTATGCGAATATTAGGTAGGTCACAACGATTGGATTGAAATTAAAGCACAAAGTAAGAGATGAAATTAGAAAAAAAAAATAAAAAAAATAAATAAATAATTCCCAAATTACCCACTCGAATTTGCACTCGAGTTCAATTATGTCTAAAAATTGCTTGACATTAATCATACAACACTGGCTCTATTTAAAGAATGTATGAATTATTTTTTGTCGTCAACATACTTAAATGAGTTCATTTATGGTTTTTTTCCCAAAGGAAATCCTTTTTCTAACTAGAGAGGGTACTCGTTCATTCATCTTTTGCATGAAAGAAGGTAAAAACAATAATTTACACTTTCTTTTCCCTTTTTTATTTATTTATTTTTTTTATCAAACATTTCATGATCATCATGGTTTTAGACTACACGAGGTGGGGGCCACTGGCTCCCAGGCCCCCACTGAAATTGGAGAAAAAAAATACAACCGTGCTATATGTACATTTCTGTTGACATGGGGCATTACAGAGTGACGTGGCAAATTCAAAATCTTTGAAAACTCAAAATAAAAGGAAAATCGAAAAATGAAAGAAATGGTGTCGGGTTAATATATTGAAAATCGGCCCATTTTCATTTGTAAAACCTAACAAGCACTGAAGCTGCTTACCCCAAAATTGCCGATCACCGAAGCCTTACTGTGGCGGCGCATCTGTTCATTGAAAATTCAGCTTTATCTCCAGCTCTGGCGATGCATCTGTTTGTCAACCAAGTGCAACTTTACCTCCATCTTCGACGACTTCTACTTAGGCAAAATCTACAGCGATATTTGTGTAAGTTATGTGTTTTGGTAAATTGGGTATGTGAATGGGGTTTGGAGGGCTTGAAGCCTTTAGTACGATTAGCTTCCATCATTAGATGGTAAGTCTTTGACCCCACCCTGCTACGCCTCATTGAGAAATTGGCGCTGGAACAGGGAATGCGTTTTATGTGGTCGATATCGTGCAAATTAGAAGGTAAATGTCTTGTGTAATTAAAACAAACATATTCATAAATATTAGGGATCAACAGGTTTAAAAACATAGGAGTTCTCTGAGACTTCCAGAACACTATAACTTTGAAATTAATTGGATGTTGCCGAGAAAATTTGTTGTGAGACAATATGTAACATTTACAATTTTGTTGTTTGCAATTACCTCTTACACGAACCTGTGGAGCTATTAATTCGTACAACTCAGTACATAGTGTTGTTTGCATATTAATGTGGTTGGCTCACATCTTAAAATGGCAGGAAGAAATCACGGTGTGTGTCACATCTGCAGGTGTAAGGGCCACTTCTTTGCCGATTGCCCAAAGAAACGATTATGCCCGTGGTGCAAGCGTGCATTCGTGAAGTGTTTTGAGGTGGAAAAAGATACTAAGAGCAACGATAAGTTGTTCAACAGCTGCGGTGCCAAATGTGGATTCTGGGAATGGGCTGGAGAAGATGAATCGAGCTGTGAATCAAGTGATGAGACGTTAAATACTGCTGCAATGACAGAATCAGTTATGGATGTCACTGGCATGTTCGAATCGAAACTTCGTTTAAGCGATGAACAAGAAATAAATTTTTTTGTGAATGTGACAATTCGCAAGAACAAAGCAAGTGCGGAAGTCGATAACAAATGAAGGCCCGGGCTTGAGTAGGAGGTGTTTGGGGTAGTTGTTATGTAACTTTTGAAGACATTGCACTTTTATAGTGCTAATTTTGTTGGATTGTAAACATATGGTCGATGTCTTGAAGGTTTGCGTTAACTGCTAATTGAAGTGGTCGAATTTGCTAGGCTTCAAGTAGTGCATTATCGCCTTTTGAGTTATTTTTTCTGATCTTATTAAATACTCTCTAGTTTTTGTTTTTGTGCTATTGAGTTACAAAGTCACAGGTACATATTATAGTTATGAATTGCGTGGTATAATTGGAATTTACCATTTTAGTGTTGAGTGCATAAAAAGAGAACTCCCAGAATATTGTGCTTTATTGCAGTTGTGGGACTTTGATCTTATTACTTGTTGTGTTTGCATATGTCTTCTCACAATATATTTTGGCTCGAGTGTTAGTTGAAACAAGAAATGGTTACAAGTGAATGTATAATCCTGCCCTCAACAAGAAGTTCAGCATTAGAGCAAGCAGCTATTATAATCCAATCCCAATTTCACTACTAAACTGTGAATTCCTCTCCCCCCTAGAACCACAGATGTGAACCAACACTACTAAAAGTGTAGTTGCATTAATCTCTCCAAGATGATGACGCATCAAATGAAAGAATCTAAGCGACTCATTACAGAAAATTTGCTACAAAAAACATGCGCATATGCATATCTTTTATAAAAATCCAACATCTCATTTTCATCACTGACCTTCATCCCAACCTCAGACACAATGGCTCCATCTACTCCTGCTATATCATCATCCAATATGTTCAAATTGTCCATCACGTTGTCATTATTGGATTCCATCAAAGTTCTGTCTTCAAATTCGTTCACAATTTGTTTCTCTGCAACAAGTTATCAATTCAAGTGACGTAGGCTCTTTCGCAAAAGTCATTCCAAATTTATGCAGCATAAATATTCTTAGTTAAGCACAACATTTTAAGTTAATTTTTGCAAAACATTTTAAGTTCATTTTCGCATAGAGTTTTTTCCATTAGGGGCATTTTCTCTGAAGACGTGGATACTACAATGGTAGTGTGGCTAAAATATGTCAGCAAAGGTTTTTTGGAAATGTTAATCCCATACATGGTGACCATGGAAACTCATTTACCCTTCAATTTGCAAAAAAAAAATATCGACACCTTTTATCTGCCATTATTTACATCCAAACAGACTACATACATACAATAACTGAAAAATAGCAAAGAAAATATTCTAAGAAATGCATAATACCTTTGTCCATCATGATTTTGACAAATTGATGTTGTTGGGTCGGAAAAGCTACAGCCAATTTCGGTGTGGTAGTGGTGACATGTTTAATTTCCTTCGGATTACGACTGAAAGGAAACGAGGGGTACAAGATTTTAAACTTGTGTTCTGTGGCGAGATCTATCCATGTGTGCAGTTGCCTGTTCCGATGCCGGTGATGTTGAAAAGCTTCGGCCGGTGAAATGTGCGGCCTTCAGATTGCAAGGGAAGCAAAATGACGGAAACAGCAATATTAATTTACATTTGGGCCGGGTTTGCTCCATTCAAATGACGCGGGTTGTGTTTTAAATTGAGCAGCCACGTCATTATGTCAAATAGCGTGTAAGCAGCAATGTACAAGGAGCAATTTCCTAAATCCTACTCTAGCTACATATTGATAGATTGAAAGAAGCTGAAAGTACATTTTACAAAGACAATGTGTAATACTTTCTTATAGATTCAAAGTCCAACATACATAAACAGAAGGATGAACACAGTAAGAAATCAATAAGAGGTAATCACTACCCTTGAAGGTGATACTATTATATTTACATATTTTGGCAACTTGATAAGAGACTCATTTTTTATCTCCACGAGTTCGTGCCCATAGGAGAAGAAGCGACCGTAAGCTATATGGGTTTTATCTTTAAGTTGTGTAGTGCCAGAAGTATTCACACGAAAGAGAGGTAACACAACTTTAGGACATCGTCATTGACATTACTCCCTAAAACTTGTTTTCTAATTCTCTACGTATATTTTATATTTATGTTATTGTTGATCTTATGTTTATGCTATTTTATTGATTATGTTTAATTGATAATTATTAATCCACACACAAATCACCCATTTTTCCCAACATATTTGTATATATACACATTTTTCACTAGCTAAAGATCGCATTTGAGATCAGTGATAGAGAAAGAAAAAATTACACGATTCTTTCATGAAAGACAAAAAAAAATGCACAACATTACATATGACATAAAGGCGTAGCCTCATGGCTTTACATACAAAAAGATGTGATGGTCAGCATTTTGTACTATACTTAAAAGTTACTTTTAAATTGCTTTCGAGCACCGTAAAACATCTAGATATAGTGTTAAGTATCAATGGAAGTTGGCATTGGCACTATAAGTCATTCCTACTTGCCAATTGGAAGGGGCAACATTCCATGCAATAATAGTCTCATGGGACGTGTATGAAGTTATCTTGAAAGAAAGGGCTTGCCCTCCAAGAGTAGCAAATGCTTGGTATGAAGCTCCCCAATTGTGGCTCATGCTTATCCACCCTGTTTTGCTTCCCTTCACCCACATTTGGGAGATATCTCCGCCACCGGCAACGTTCATCACGTACACAAGTAGCCAGTAGCCGTTCCCTTGGAAGGTGAATCGAAGGCCGCCTTTCCTAACACATGGCACTCTACAAGCAAGAAGAGATTTAAAAAATAAAAAAATTAGGAATTGACCCTCATGGGCAATGAACTCATAATTGTACATGGTAAACGATCTAGTTCAAGCAGATCAAATTTGAAGTTGAAAATAATTAATTTAGATATATCCGTTCATAATATATCATTGGAAACACTATCAAGTTAGAATCCCAACTCATTTTTCAAGGATCTCAAATCGGAGCTTCCTATAAAAACTTATGCATGTTGTTGTCCGAGTTTCGCTCACTAACTAAGCAGAAGGGCTCGATCCATGTAAGGTAAGGGGACGATCCCTAGCCCTAAAAATTCTTTGGGTCGATCCCTTGCCCTTACAACAACTTGGGGTCTACAACTACGGTTTTGAGGTCGACCTTTACAAATATAAGTTAACTTTTATAAACCAAACATTAAAGTCATTCTAGAACTTTAGTAATAAACACAACACGATATGTCAAGGATAATCAATCCTTAACAAAAATGACAAAAATTACTTTTTAAAAAAGCCGATTATTATGGTTTAACCGAGCACTTAGTTTAATTTTGTCTTGATATCATATTAATTTTTTTTATCCAACTAGTCTATTCGATTTTTATAACAATTCAAAAAGTAGTGCTTTTACCCTATGAGAATATTGTCATATAACAAAGTTTAGTTTTAATATTAAAATGTAAATAAATTGTCACGTAAAAAAATAAAAAATAAAAATCAAGTCAATGGTTATTTAAATAATAATAATAATAAGTACCTGCGGAACATGACAGGTACAATCCCAGCCTTCCATTGAGCAATTTTCATGAATGCTGGCTTCGACATGTCGAAGTGGGTTCGTGGCGGATTGCACCAGCCACCGTTATTGGAGTCTTTAGCCCAGTTTGGCGGGCAAAGGTTGGTGGCGGTAACGGTAGTTATTGGTGATCCTTTGTAACACCATTGCGATTGAACACAACGGATTTGAAAGCACTGTCCGCATCCGTACCCATTGTTGAATAGGACTGAGCTTAGCGCCGCCGTGTCGGTGCCATACCCACTGCTGAACAAGTTTCCATAACCACATGCTCCACCTGCATTACCAAATATCGTCATTTAACATGTTTGGCTAAGCTTAAAAGCAACTTATTGATAAGTAGATATATATATATATATATATATATATATATATATATATATATATATATATAAGTGATGAAAATGTACAAAAATATTTAAGTTTGGTGAGTCAGTTATAACTAATTTGAGTTTAATGATCTACTTAAATCAAATCATACGACTTCATTAAAAAATAAAATAAAATAAAATTAGTGACTATAATGTTTTAACCCCTTAAAATTTCAAATAAGCCACAAAATTTTCTTATAGGATCGTTTTTAACATAATTGAATTTGTTGGAAGTCAAGGTTGAAAGTAAGTAAATGATTAATTCTAAAATCATCTCATGTCCGGCTATTATTCTAAGTTTTTCTTCCTAAAAAATAATTAAAAGTTTTACATTCAAATTTATTTGACATTAAATTATTTTATGAAAATACATAGTAATTGAAAATATTATTTTTCTAATGAACGTTGCTACTTAAAAAAGTTTTGAAATTTAAAATGTAAGTAACGGTAATGACATTTGATAGCAAGCATGTGACGATCTTTAATAAATGAAAATACATTGTACAAGAAGTTGTTTAAAAGTAGGCCAAATTTTTTGCGGAACTCACCCATAGTTTCCGAAGCAGTTTCATCCCCATAGAATGTGGCATGGGCAAGTTGCCAAGTCGTAGGTCGGAATACACGGGTATAGTATCCGGCCCTTGCTTTCTCGATCACCGCCAAAATCAAGAAGAATAAGCTAAATTGACATGAATGAAGTAAAGAAACCATGATTCTTCTACCTTAATTTTCTAAAATTGTTAGCTCTTCTTGTGGAGTAGAATGCAAAATGCAATGCCAAATTGACTTGAAATTGTAGTCTTTATAAAATTTAGGGTCCCAATTAGTGGCTACGTGACCGGCACTAAATATTGCAATTTTATAAAGTCAACATATGAATTTTTAATAGGTTGGTTTAATTTGAGGCCTATCCTATATAAGTTTGTGTTGTACCACGTAGTCTAGTCAGAGAACGTGCTGGCAGGTTTATGTTTGGATATAGTAATGTTGTTTTTCAACATTCTAAATAATTTAATTAATGTGCAATGAATCAAATCTAATTTGTTAGTCTTAATAAAAATTGTATTTCAACAATAAACATTGATAGAATTTTTTTATATGAGGATCCAAACAAATTCATGACAAGAAAGACATGAAATATGTGAGATGTGACCAATGGCCAAGTCAAGACTCAAATTCCAGACCTTATTTTAACGATAAAAAAAATTTCGAACACAAAATATAGAACTATTAAAAATAAAAAGGAAAACAAAAAAGTCATATTTTTTTCAAAGCTGCTATTCGTACATAAGTAGCTCACAGAAGCCATACAGATAAGCTGGTAAGCATTACTATTTTTTGAAAAAACAAAGAAAAAAATAGAGAACAAAAACGGCATCAGTAAATTGAAGGAAAATAGAACCAAGCCCTCTCTTTCCTCTCACCGAACACACAACCCGTTTTTGGTCTCCGAACCCACTTTGATTCATACCTGCCAACTTCGTCGGCACTCTTTTCACCATCTCCGGCGGTTGTCTATTGTTCGACAACAAAGAAGCCAATATCTTTATCTTCGTCATATCACCGACTTTGAAACAGTAAGATTTTTGGGGTTTTCAATTGGTACAAATTTGAATCAGACCCATCATCTTCTGCATTCCCATTTCAAAAATTTTTATAGGTCTCCGTTAAACTGGAATAGGCTGGGTTAGCAGATCCAAATTTTGAATTGAAAACAACATTACACCTAGTATATGCAATTAGAATTTGTAAAAACTAGGAGTGCTGCTTAATAAGTTTAGGCGTTGATAATGGTCTCATTCTTCCCATGTTGAATCAGTCCATGACAATAGTAACTAGGAATATAAAGGATAAAAATTGAATATGAATTCTAATATATAACATATTGCTCACCCTACATTACATTGATCCAAAATAACTTTTGCATTTTGTAAATTATGCATCTTAGATACAGGGCCTTCATTTGTTTATTGTGTTTCAAAATACTGGATATTTTGATAAATATACATTGCAAACTAATAAAAACATAAACTTCAATTTTCATCATAATAATCTAATGACCAACTACTAGAATTGCAAAAGGATTCAAGCTAACAGAGAGAACTCGTGTAAAGACAAAAGTCTTGTTTTTTCTAAGCCACTGGAAAGTAGACTACAGCGATGTAGTTCAAAGCCATCAATAACTTCGAACGGAAAGATTCGACTTCATCCTTATATGGTAGTGGCATAAAAAATTCAACGGAAGAATTGACAGATGCTTACTTATGGTAGGTATCTTGGTTCACCAAGATAATCCATTCAATAATTACTACTTTGTCTTATGAATTTTAGATTAAAAACCACTGAATAAACCTAAAGAAAACTCGTTCGTCACGATAAACTTCATTTCTACCTAGCTAATCATTGTCTACAATGCACTGAAAGCTATCATCTACTATCCCTATTCAGTATTCAACAAACATAAAGTTCTGAAATAGACAGTACATAAAATTAATTTAAAAGAAGCAATATGTAAATGTAACTTGTATGTTGGAATGAAGATTTATACATTGGAGTGAAGAAGCAATATGTAGACGTAACTTGTTAAACATTGCTAAGATTGGATGAGTTCATGCATTTTGATTATTCGATTAGAAACATATATTCATGTAACAGTATTGAAACACCCTAATTCTTTCAACTGTTGCAGCTCATTCTATACATTGATATTACTTCTTCATAGTATTCAAATAGATTAGCCAAATGGATGCTTATGAAACTCATTCTATAAATTGATGTTACTTCATCAGTCACATTGGAATATTCAATACTTGTCTCACATTGGTAGCTATATGTACACTAACTTAGATGCCTATGATTGTTTCCCGTGTAGGGATGAAGGGCATGAATTATGGTATTTGTCACACTCAGAGAAGCACAGATAACTCGTTCGAAGAATGTAAGAAAAAACGACGTTGTCCATGGTGTGTAGATGGAATTCAAAAATGTTTTAAGGTTGAAAATGAGGGCAATAACAAAGGTTGACTATTCAAAACTTGCAGTAATGATTGCGAATTTTTTAACTCGGTAATAGAAAAAGCAAACAACAAGTCGAGTATCATTTATCAAGCAATAAATCTTACTGTGAACGAGGAAGTCGACGAGTTGCAAAGCATGTTCGAAAGCCTAGCTCGAATAGCTAAGAAACGAAATTTTGAGGTTTCATTAAATGTGACATTCCGCAAGGGCAAAGAACCCTCAAAAGATAATGGAAAGGGAAAAGGATCAGCATAATGCATAATTATATTTGATGTTGCAATTTTTTGGAGTTATATTGTTAGATTCGTAAGATCATGAGAGGCTGGGAAATGATTCTTGTAACCTTTCAAACTTTATGTACAACTTATATTTGCATATATTTATTTGAATTGAACTATGATGGTGTACATTCATCTCACATCTTGATAAAAAACTCATAGTCATCAAATCCGGATCTTCATCCTTAAAAATGTTTTACTTTAACTAGATAATGAAAATAACAAATGTTAAATTCAGTACATGAACTTCTTGAAGATCAAAACGTGTCTCCAAAATCTTAACAGGATAAGTAACAAAGGTCCTTATGTCAGAATGCAGCAGATCATCTCCATTTAGCTAAGTCATACCCGAATCCTTAGAAATAATTCTTCATCCGCAGTTATATGCCTGGACCACCTTCTTGTGGGAAATGTAGATAGTTGTACAGAATTGAACGACCTATCGTATAATACGAACACAAGTATACGCATAAAATGTACACTAATGCAAACATAAAGAGTTTAATGTGTGTAAACCTTGATCACCGAATATGAAATTTGTAGATGTTAGGGGGGACTAAACTTGAGGCTGGCAAGTGTTGCGGGAAGATTGGACTTTCTGCATCACCCTACATCGTATAACAATGCAATTAAAGCTTCGAATAAGTCATCATAATAAACTAAGTATACTAACCAACAATAGTTGTAAATACGAGAATGGTGTCTGCCTAGAATATTGTTGAGATGCTTGAACGACGGGTGAAGATGGTGTATTACTGTGCCTGGACGTTGGTCTCTTTCCTCTGGTTGAAGTTGACGTAGCCTGTACATACATCATGTTATATATTAATTGTAATAGAATACTGTTTAAGTTGACAAAACAGTGACAAAGATACATTTGCTTTCTTCGAAGAGGACTCCAAGAGGCCTTTTCTCTAAAGCTTCTTAGGCGTGCCCTTTCTTCTCGTTGCTATAGGATCTCGTATGCTCTCGCTGGCATTACTTTCAGATTGATTACACTGCGAGACTAACTGAATAGTGTGACATGACACCTGATTACTATCGATGTCTGACTTTATTGTAATCAACTCTTGCTTTTGATTAGTTATCCACTCCTTAATCGCATAGCAATGCATTTCATCGTTAGCCGCAAGGTTTGAAACCTCCATAAACGCCTGATACATATCATCATATCTCAATTGTTCAGGCGTACTAACCAACCCGTCATAGTTTCCTGCAACCCTGATGTGTGTTCTACAAATGTCTCTCCTCCATCATCGTAGTATATACCTCTCTGGCAGAGAGTGATGTCATTACGGATCAAGACTACGATAACATGATGGCACGAAATTCCCCAAAACTCAAACAAATGGAAACTACAAAAAATTTCGCAATTATCTCATTGAAATGAGACGAAGTTTTTTATCTTCTATTAGTCATCAAGCATGACAACCTCCCGTATTTCGTAGGCCGTGCCTAAAGTTCCCTCCATACTAGATGTAATGTCGTAATAAACCTTCCATGTAAGCTCAACTTGAACTTTTCTGAACTTTGAAATGATGTAACATTTTCCATATTGCTTCTCCATCTCGAACATTGTCGTACACGGTACTATTTAGGAATATGACTTGAAGTCGGCCTGGAACTCTTTTTCAACCTTATTCCTATGTGCCCATTCATATTGTTTGACAAATTGCTTCAATGAGGTTTTCGAATAAACATACCCATCAAAGAATGCATTTATACTCTCAATTCGCTAAGTTGTTAACATCCCTGTCCAAAATGTAGTTTTCATATTGCAAGGAACCCAACGACCTTCATTATCAAACCGTCTTAACAACCACTCATTACTATGCAGCCCATATATGTCGATTATTACGTTCCAACATTCTTCAAATTCTTCCACGAACTCCGAATCATACACTAATGCATGTATGGTAAAAAAATGGAAGCCTTATCAACATGGTATCCAAACTTTTCGGGCAATTTCTTCAAAATATGCTACAAACATCATCTATGCCTCGTATTAGGAAAAACCATTAAAACTGCATTTTACATAGCACTATCTTGATCAGTAATGATTCCATGGGGAGGTTTTTCATGTATACACTGAAGCCATATTTTAAATAGCCATACAAAAGTATTCGTATCCTCATTGGACACCAAACCACAACCGAGCAATGTTGACTGTCCATGATGATTAACACCAAGAAAAAGGACGAAAGGCTTGTCATACTTATTGGTTAGATAAGTGGTATCAAATGTGACAATGTCACCGAACTCCTTGTATGCTTGCTTAGACCTATTATTTGCCCAAAACACATTCTTCAACCTGGACTCATTGTCAAAATCTATACTAAAGTAGAATCCTGAACACTGAGCTTACATCTTCAAAAAGTACGCCCATATCGCCGTGACATCTCCTTCACCAAGTTTTAATCTTTTTACTTGTTCAATATAATTCCAACAATTCTTTTCCATACAAGTCATATTTTCATATCCACCCGCTTCAACCACTGTAGAGTCAAAACTTATGTGCAATGAAATTCCAGCCAAATCATTCACTTCAAGCTTTTGTTTCACATGTGAACTTAATTCTCGATTGCAACAATACAACCTTAATTTCAAATGACTTGTTTTATGATTATGGTCGAGGTGGACTGTGTTTATTCTACAGATTCCATGAATATCCGCAAATGCAGTGATCTTGGCTTTACAATTTGTTTGAATTGTTGGTTAGGGCTTTAAAGAACCACTGGTGCTGGTAGGCCTTCGACCTTCATGGCTACATGTTAAAGTCACATATTTCATTTTTCCATCGTCTCCATTTTTTGAATTCCTTCTTCTAATGGAAAACCTATATGATATGCATATCTTTTGAAGAAATCCCACAATTCTTTTTCATCCTCGAACATCATACCCACCTCCGACACCTCAGGCACCATCGAACCATCTTCTCCTAACTTTTCCTCCTCCACTGATATCATATTATTAGCAACATTCTTGTTGACATCTCTCTCCACTAAAAATTCATCACGCATGTCTTCTACAAAACCTTCTGCTGCAATGCAATCGAATACAATGTTCAACAAACCAATTATAGTATTCTAAGTAATCAAAAATGTAATATGAGTTCAGATAAATTACAAAATAACCAAAATGGTAACGAATTTGAGAATTATTGGGATTTTTTTTACATAATAAAAGTAAAAGAAACAACACCCAAGCTAAATGGTAGATAACAGCGAAGAATACTTCTCAGTCCGGCCTGTTTAATTTCATATCTTTGTTCCAATACATTTTCGATTTTTTTATTATATATATATCATGTGCACCAGAATTTTTTTGCACCATCTTCTTTTATTAGAATTAGAATTCCAACAGAAATTTATTGCACTAGAAATCCAACATTTCATATACAAATATGTTTTTTAAGGCATGCTAACTACTCAAAATAAAATTCATAGCTCACACATTCTTCTCCTCTTTTCTAGTGTTTGTAATATCAACAATGTATACACTCTTTGATTCATTTAACCAGAATTGCAGAAGGGAAAGAAGGAAAAGAGAAAGGAGAAGAAATGAGAGAAAATCAAGAGATCATATTACCATCTTTGCAGGAGTTGGGCATCACTATTTTCGATCGGTGCATTTGGTGAGGGCGGGTGAAAGAGACGAAGTGGGGGATTCTTCAGCGGGGGCGAGAGAAATTGGGGGAAACGAATGATGCACTATTAATTGGTCTGAAAATGAAAAGGTAAGGGCCTGTTCTTTTTGTTGTTTTCATACCATTTTCAGTTTTTAAATTTTGAAAACACTGAAAACATTTTTACTTACATATTTTCAAAAATGAATTTTCAAAAACGAGAAAAAAATTACAAAGAAAACGCAAAACGGCCTTTTAGTCGGTTTGGCTGTTTTTAGTAGAAATCAAGCCAAAACTTCATAATGCGGAAAACGCGGTGTTTTCGCAAATAACAGGATAGCTCAGTTGGCTGAGTCATGAATTTTCATAAGGTCAAGAGTTTGATTCCGTTTCACCGCAATTTAGTACAAAGGAATTTTCTTTTTATATGCACAGTACAAAAAATTTCAATTAAATTTCATGTTTTTTCTTATCAATAGCCGGATAGCTCAGTTGGTAGAGACTTGGATTGTGAGATGGTCATGAGTTTGATTCCACCAGCCTACTTTCAATACAAAGGGTTTTCATATATATATATATATATTGAACAATTGCTCTTACAATTTTTCAAAACTAGAAAGTAAATGCATTTTTTAATTTTTTATTTTTGAAAACAATTTTTCAAAATGACAAAAAGAACGCCTTTTCAACAATCTGAAAATGGACACTCAAAATACAAAATCCAAAATAAATTCAAAACTCAAAACTAAAATCTAAAACACAAAGAGAACGGCCCCTAATATTTTGTTAGAATGGTCTACTTATTTTTTTAAGTTGGCACGTAAAATTTTTCTGTCAGGTTCAGACAACGAAGAAATGAAGCTGGCACGTAACATTTTTTAAAAATTCTATATGGCTTTTGTCTAAGGCTTCTGTAAGGGAGGCTTAAGTGATTAGATAATATTGTCAAAGATGTTAAAATCTTGTATTTTATATTGTTTGGTGTTGAGAGTTAGAAACTCTAACTATATTCAACCGAAAGCAATCAAATAGCATTAAGAACTAAAAACTAACAAGATTTATAGAAATTCGTTTCAATACGAGACTATGTCCTCTTTTGCTGCACCAATAATTTACTATGATGAAAAAATAGAAAAAAAAATCGCACATCTATAATTTCTAATATCCCTTTCTATATTTTATGATAATGATTAAAAAGCCTAATGAAGGCTCCTTATTTATCAGATAAATTAGAGCAAAATCAAAATTTACAAGAACTCAAATTCCATTGACGAAATTTACAAAGACACAAATTCCTAACACACCCTTAATAATTAGGTTGATTCATGAACTAGTTCCTCGAAATTGTAATAATTAGACTCTACAACTTAACAGTCAATTATGCTTAATATAGAGATATCAATGGAGCAAGGCTGTTATGACCCTCCTTGACCTCAAGGATTTCCAAAGCAAGGCATGTCCGTGGTTGGGGGATGATTACGACCCTAGTTTTATTTCATGAGCTCCAAACATGTTTGATTTAAATTAAAATTTAGATTTTAATCTAAGTTAAAGTTAATAATTAATCTTAAACACATTTATTATGAGATCTACAACTTTTTAACCACACATTTCATTAACTTTTATCAAAATTTACTAGAAAATTGATTTTATTCCCCATCAAATGGGCTTGATAAAAAAAAATAAAAAATAATTGAATGCTATTTTATTCCTTCGAATGGAAGGAGAAGACTTTTTGTCATTCAATTTTCAAAGTAATTATGTAGTTGATAGTTATTGACATTATCATATTTACAATATTGAGTAGATATTTCATTTAATCATGCAAATACTTGGTGATTAAGTCTCATGAATACAATATTGAGTAGATTTACGTAATGTGAAACGAACACCTATCTCAATTTATGGAAATTGTCTTAAATAGGCCACCTACGAATTTTGGACTCATTTTATACCTTCTCAGATCGAACTCGTAACTAATATTTTGAAGAGTAACTTTTCTATACCAAGGACGAGTAAAGAAGTCACACAAGATTTTGCATCATGAAGTGTCGCATAGCCTAAAATCTAATCCTAAAGTAAACATGCCAATATGGTACAAAATTTTTGAAGGATATGTTAATAATTGTGGATAATTATTATTCGATCTCACGTTAGGGCAAAATGATATTTGTATCACTCTTGATAAGAAGAAGAAGAAGTAGTATTTGTATCACTCCTGATAAAAAAGAAAAACGAAAAAAAGAAAAGATATTTGTATCACTATCTAATTTAACTTAACAATTTAGACATTAAGCTAATGACAATTTCAAGGGAATAGAGATTCCTATTGTGTGGATTTGAGATAAACACATAAAAACATTACCTATCCGTTTCGCTTTCATTATTTCAAATTTTAATGGGTGGAATAATATTTTTTTTGAAGAATTGGTGGTAGAACAGGAAGAAAATATTTTCGATTTACGTGTACTATTATTTTATAAAAAATTCTGTGGTTGAAAATAGAAAAATATAATTTAATTTAACGAGGGCCAAACGATTTAACTTGATTTGGTGCAATAATTCTCCTCCTTCTTTGGTCCATATATTTGCTTCCTTAATCAGAAAATGGGTAAGTATGGCCGAACAATGGTATCAATTTTTCCATTTGTGCAAACAGAAACCTGTAGAAAACTTCCAATGACGTGGGGCCTACCCAAATTAAGAAAGGCAACAAACTGACCCACCCCACTATTGTGAGGTGTCGATAGATGTTCTGTTAATTTTACCTGTACACTTAGCATTGCTATAGTAACATAAGCTGATAGGCAGGTGGGGGGCCAACGGAATTTCGGGCCCCAAAACTTGGAAAAAAATTATTTTTTATTTTTATTGAAAAATAATTTACTTGAGACCTCAACTCATTTAGGTTGTATGTGTACGAAAACTATTTCATGCACCAAAAATTCAATTACTTTCGTTCTTTAAAGTTAGCTGAGTCATCTTTGATCCATCAATTTGATGAAAAACATAGTATTTCTCATTCCCTTGCACTATTTATGTTCATTTTAAAAAAATTTATGTTTTATTTTATGGATGTACTTCTTTTAAAGGTGATGATAGTATAAAAATAAATTAAAGAAGGAAAAGAAGTTAATTATTTATATATTTAATTCGTTAAATTAAATTTTTATATTTAAAAAATCATGTATTTAATAATTTTTTATAAAAAATTAAAAATAGAACGACTCATTTCACCCAATATAATTTGTCACAGGAAATTATCCCTCTCCGGAAATATTTGCCATTTCTCGCTCTACAGTTCACGCGTTCCACTTCTTCCACTTGTGCGTGTTTTCTACAAGTATTTTACCAGATTGGAGTGAATAAGCAGTAGAATCTTTGATCGATCAATTTGAAATCGAAATGAATTTGATGGATTCTTCTCCTCCACCGCCTTCCGATTCTTCTTCATCGCTGCCAAGTACCGCCGCGCCACCGGCGGAGCAAAAGCAGGAAGAAAGGGTAAAGGAGATGGTGCACAAGACTAAAGTGATACAATTCTTGGGAAGGACCACGCCAATTATTCTACAAAATGATAATGGGCCATGTCCTCTCCTCGCTATCTGTAAATTCATTTTCCCTCTCTTCTAGGGCTTTTACAAGAAAGAAGAAATGTGTATAATTCATATTTATTCTGCTATTTTTTCTTGCTTCTAATAATTGGAAATTATTAAATAATTTGATCAATTGAGAAACAAGTAAACGAAGAAGCTTGGCTACTGAAACGATGGATTATTTGGTTTTCGTAAATTTTCTGGCCTTGATTTGGTTAGGCATTACAATCCAGTTTCCTTCTTCTGAAAGGGATTTATACGCCCACTTAAAAAAAAAAAAAAAAAATTATAATATATATACTTATATGTATGTATGTATATACATATATATATATATA